GCTGTGAGCGAAGATTCTGAGTTAGAGCTGGTGAGCAGCTGAAGAACTGGAGCTGGGAAGAGAGAGGCATTGCAGCAGGTACGCTGTGGCTGTGAGGTTAGGGTTAGATCCAGGGTTCGGGTTAGGCTTTGGGTTCGGGTTAGGGTTAGGGTTCGGTCTCCCATGGGCGATGTTTCGGCTTGCTCAGGAACAGCGAACCCGGAGGGTCCAGTGTCATGTGGGGCTGCGTAAAGGCTCCCCTGGGGAGTTCACTTGTACCCAAAGCCTTCCTTTGGTGACACTTTTGGATGGTCCAAAGGGACTCGCAACGCTTTTTCTGGGGCCTGATTTTTCAGTCGTCTTCGATGCCGGCTAGGGCTATGTTTAGGGATGCTCGGAAACAGCGAACCCGGAGGGTCCAGTTGCATGTGGGGCTGCATAAAGGCTCCCCTGGGGAGATCACTTGTATCCAAAGCCTTCCTTTGGTGACACTTTTGGATGGGCGAAAAGGGCTTGGAACACATTTCCTGGGGCCCGATTTTTCATTCGTCTTCGATGACGGCTAGGGCTACGTTTAGGTTTGCTCAGGAACAACGAACCCGGAGGGTCCAGTTGCATGTGGGGCTGCGTAAAGGCTCCCCTGGGGAGTTCACTTGTACCCAAAGCCTTCCTTTGGTGACACTTTTGGATGGTCCAAAGGGGCTTTCAACGCGTTTTCTGGGGCCCGTTTTTTCAGTCGTCTCCGATGCCGGCTAGGGATATATTCAGGGTTGCTCAGGAACAGCGAACCCGGAGGGTCCAGTTGCATGTGGGGCTGCGTAAAGGCTCCCCTGGGGAGTTCTCTTGTACCCAAAGCCTTCCTTTGGTGACACTTTGGGATGGTCCAAAGGGGCTTTCAACGCGTTTTCTGGGGCCCGTTTTTTCAGTCGTCTCCAATGCCGGCTAGGGCTATGTTTAGGGATGCTCGGAAACAGCGAACCCGGAGGGTCCAGTTGCATGTGGGGCTGCGTAAAGGCTCCCCTGGGGAGTTCACTTGTACCCAAAGCCTTCCTTTGGTGACACTTTTGGATGGGCGAAAAGGGCTCGCAACGCATTTCATGGGGCCTGATTTTTCACTCGTCTCCGATGACGGCTAGGGCTATGTTTAGGGATGCTCGGAACCAGCGAACCCGGAGGGTGCAGTTGCATGTGGGGCTGCGTAAAGGCTCCCCTGGGGAGTTCACTTGTACCCAAAGCCTTCCTTTGGTGACACTTTTGGATGGTCCAAAGGGGCTTGCAACGCTTTTCTGGAGCCCGGTTTTTCAGTCTTCTCCCATGACGGCTAGGGATATATTTAGGGTTGCTCGGAAACAGTGAACCCGGAGGGTCCAGTTGCATGTGGGGCTGCGTAAAGGCTCCCCTGGGGAGTTCACTTGTACCCAAAGCCTTCCTTTGGTGACACGTTTGGATGGTCCAAAGGGGCTTGCAACGCGTTTCGCTGGGCCTGATTTTTCAGGTGTCTTCGATGCTGGCTAGGGCTATGTTTAAGGATGCTCGGAAACAGCGAACCCGGAGGGTCCAGTTGCATGGGGGGCTGCGTAAAGGCTCCCCTGGGGAGTTCACTTGTACCCAAAGCCTTCCTTTCGTGACACGTTTGGATGGTCCAAAGGGGCTTGCAACGCGTTTCGCTGGGCCTGATATTTCAGTCGTCATCAATGCCGGTTAGGGATATATTTAGGGTTGCTCGGAAAAATCGAACCCGAAGGGTCCAGTTGCATGTGGGGCTGCGTAAAGGCTCCCCTGGGGAGTTCACTTGTATCCAAAGCCTTCCTTTGGGGGCACTTTTGGATGGTCCAAATGGGCTCGCAACACATTTCCTGGGGCCTGATTTTTCACTCGTCATCGATACCGGCTAGGGCTATATTTAGGGATGCTCGGAAACAGCGAACCCGGAGGTCCAGGTGCATGTGGGGCTGCGTAAAGGCTCCCCTGGGGAGTTCACTTGTATCCAAAGCCTTCCTTTGGGGGCACTTTTGGATGGGCGAAAAGGGCTCACAACGCATTTCCTGGGGCCTGATTTTTCAGTCGTCTTCGATGCCGGCTAGGGCTATGTTTAGGGTTGCTCGGAAACAGCGAACCCGGAGGTCCAGTTGCATGTGGGGCTGCGTAAAGGCTCCCGTGGGGAGTTTACTTGTACCCAAAGCCTTCCTTTGGTGACACTTTTGGATGGTCCAAAGTGGCTTGCAACGCGTTTTCTGGGGCCTGATTTTTCAGTCGTCATCGATGCCGGCTAGGGTTATATTTAGGGATGCTCGGAACAGCGAACCCGGAGGGTCCAGTTGCATGTGGGGCTGCGTAAAGTCTCCCCTGGGGAGTTCACTTGTACCCAAAGCCTTCCTTTGGGGGCACTTTTGGATGGGCGAAATGGGCTCGCAATGCATTTCCTGGGGCCTGATTTTTAACTCTTCTTCGATGCCGCCTAGGGCTATGTTTAGGGATGCTCGGAACCAGCGAACCCGGAGGGTCCAGTTGCATGTGGGGCTGCGTAAAGGCTCCCCTGGGGAGTTCACTTGTACCCAAAGCCTTCCTTTGGTGACACTTTTGGATGGTCCAAAGGGGCTTGCAACGCATTTCCTGGGGCCTGATTTTTCAGTCGTCTCTGATGCCGGCTAGGGCTATGTTTAGGGATGCTCGGAAACAGCGAACCCGGAGGGTCCAGTTCCATATGGGGCTGCGTAAAGGCTCCCCTGGGGAGTTCACTTGTACCCAAAGCCTTCCTATAGGGGCACTTTTGGATTGGCGAAAAGGGCTGGGAATGCATTTCCTGGGGCCTGATTTTTCAGTCTTCTCCCATGCCGGCTAGGGATATATTTAGGGTTGCTTGGAAACAGCGAACTCGGAGGGTCCAGTTGCATGTGGGGCTGCGTAAAGGCTCCCCTGGGGAGTTCTCTTGTACCCAAAGCCTTCCTTAGGGGGCACTTTTGGATGGGCGAAAAGGGCACGGAACGCATTTCCTGGGGCTTGATTTTTCAGTCGTCTCCGATGACGGCTAGGGCTAGGTTTAGGTTTGCTCAGGAACAGCGAACCCGGAGAGTCCAGTTGCATGTGGGGCTGCGTAAAGGCTCCTCTGGGGAGATCACTTTTACCCAAAGCCTTCCTTTGGGGGCACTTTTGGATGGTCCAAAGGGGCTCGCAACGCATTTCCTGGGGCCTGATTTTTCACTCGTCTCCGATGATGGCTAGGGCTACGTTTACGTTTGTTCAGGAACAGCGAACCCGGAGGGTGCAGTTGCATGTGGGGCTGCATAAAGGCTCCCCTGGGGAGTTCTCTTGTACCCAAAGCCTTCCTTTGGGGGCACTTTTGGATGGGCGAAAAGGGCTCGCAACGCATTTCCTGGGGCCTGTTTTTTCATTCGTCTTCGATGCCGGCTAGGGTTATGTTTAGGGATGCTCAGGAACAGCGAAACTGGAGGGTGCAGTTGGATGTGGGGCTGCGTAAAGCTCCCCTGGGGAGTTCTCTTGTACCCAAAGCCTTCCTTTGGGGGCACTTTTGGATGGTCCAAAGGGGCTCAGAACGCATTTCCTGGGGCCTGATTTTTTACTCATCTCCGATGACGGCTAGGGTTATGTTTAGGGATGCTCGGAAACAGTGAACCCAGAGGGTCCAGTTGCATGTGGGACTGCGTAAAGGCTCCCCTGGGGAGTTCTCTTTTACCCAAAGCCTTCCTTTGGCAGCACTTTTGGATGGGCGAAAGGGGCTCGCAACGCGTTTTCTGGGGCCCGTTTTTTTAGTCTTCTCTCATGCCGGCTAGGCCTATATTTAATCTTAATGTGAAGTAGCGTACACGGATTGTCAAGGTGCATTAGGGTGAGGGTGAGGTTGAGGGTGAGGGTGAGTGTTGTTGGGGTTAGTGTTTAGGGTTTAGGTTTAGCGTTAGCGTTAGCGTTAGGGTTAGGGTTCGGGTTAGGTTTCGGGTTTGGGTTCGAGTTAGGGTTTCGGTTAGGGTTCGGCTTAGGGTTCGGGTTCAGCTTAGGGTTCGCGTTTGGGTTTGTGTTCGGGTTCGGGTTTGTGTTTGGTTTCGGGTTCGTGTTCAGGTTCGTGTTTGGGTTACTGTTAGGGTTCGGTTTCGGGTTAGGTTTAGGGTTCGGGTTCGAGTTACGGTTAGGGTCAGGGATCGGGTTAGGGTCCGGGTTCGGGTTCGGGTGCTGGTTCGGGTTAGGGTTCGGGTTCGGCACCGCCCGGACACATTTAAGCGCAACGCTGCCCGGACACATTTTAGCGCGGCACTGCCTGGACACATTTAAGCGCAATGCCGCCGGACACATTTTAGCGGGTCAGCAGCATTTGCGGGGCTCACCGGGGGGGGGTCCATGGGGCTTGGGGGGACCCCAAGGTGAGGGGGGTGGGGACAAAATGAGCGGGGAACCAAGTGTGCGGGCTGCAGTTTCCGGGGGGACGCATTTGCGGGGCTCACCGGGGGGGGGGGTCCATGGGGCTTGGGGGGACCCCAAGGGGAGGGGGGGGAACCAAAATGAGGGGGGAACCAAGTGTGCGGGTGCGGTTGCCGGGGGGACGCATTTGCGGTGCGAACCGGGGCGGGGGAACCAAAATGAGGGGGGAACCAAGTGGGCGGGGTGCGCTTGCCGGGGGGACGCATTTGCGGGGTGCACCGTGTGGGGGGGAACCAAAATGAGGGGGTAACCAAGTGTGCGCGGTGCGGTTGCCAGGGGGTTAGGGTTAGGGATAGGGTTAGGCTTAGGGTTCATTAGGGTTAGGGTTAGGGTTAAGGTTAGTGTTAGGGTTAGGGATAGGGTTAGGCTTAGGGTTCATTAGGGTTAGGGTTAGGGCTTAGGGTTATGGTTAGGGGGTTAGGGTTCGGGTTCGGGGTTCCTAAGAGGAGGAAGAGTTCTTCGGGGTTCCTAAGAGGAGGAAGAGTTCTTCGAGGAGGAGGAGGAGGAAGACGAGCTGGAGGAAGAGCTGGGCGAGGAGGACTTCGAGGAGGAGGAGTTCGAGGAGGAGGAAGGCCTCTCGGAGGAGGAGGACGAGGAGGAGGAAGAGGAGGAGGAGGAAGGCGGCAAGGCTGAGGAAGGCGCCCCCCCCACGGCCCCCCCCGCGGTGACGCTGCCGGAGGAGGAGGAGGAGGAGGAGGAGGAGGAAGAAGAGACGGGCGCCCTGCTGATGGAGGTGGATGAAGGCCAGCCCCCCCCCTGCGAGGAGGAGGAGGAGGAGGGGGGGGGCCAGCAGCCCCCAGCGAATCAGGAGGAGGAGGAGGAGATGATGGGGGGGAGGAAGGGCAGCTCCCCCCGGGTAGCCCCCAGCCCCCCCCGCCCCCCCACGAGGGTCCCCCCCCAGCCCTGGAAGCTGCGCCCCCCCCTTGTCCTCCGGAGCCGCCCCCCCCCGAGGGGCCCAAGGGGGACGGGGGCAGCCCCGAACCCCCCCCCTGCACCCCCCCCCGGACCCCCCTCAGCTGCAGGGAGAGGAGGAGGAGGAGGAGGAAGAGCCCCCGCCCCCCCCGGGCAAGGGAGAGGTGAGTGTGGGGGGGTTTGGGGCAAGATTGGGGGGTTTTGGGGCAGTTTGTGTGGAACTGGGGTGGTTTGGGGCAAGATCGAGTGGGTTTGGGACAGTTTTGGGTGTGATTGAGGTGGTTTGGGGCAAGATGGGGTGGTTTTGGGGCACTTGGGGTGAGAAGGGGGTGGTGGGGGTGGGATGGGGTGGGGTCAGGGGTCGGGGGTCAGGCGCTGACCCCGCTGTGCCCCCAGGCCCCCGACCCCACGGCCTCCATGCTGGCTGACTTCATCGACTGCCCCCCCGACGCCGCCCCGTGACCCCGCCGGGACCCCCCCAACCTCAGAGCCCCCCCAGAGCCCCTCCCCTGCCCCTCACCAGACCCCGACCCCCCCAGAACAAAATAAAGTTTCTAGAACCTTCCTCTCGGTGCCTTTGCGTTGGTTTTTGATGGGCGAAAGGGGCTGGGAAGGCTTTGGGTACAAGTGAACTCCCCTGGGGAGCCTTTACGCAGCCCCACATGCAACTGGACTCTCCGGGTTCGCTGTTCCTGAGCAAACCTAAACGTAGCCCTAGCCATCATCGGAGACGAATGAAAAATCAGGCCCCAGGAAATGCGTTCCGATGGGGACGGACATACAGACAGCTGGGGATGGTCATACAGAGAGGAGTGGTTGGAGAGCTGCCAGGCAGAGAAGGACCTGGGAGTGATGGTGGACAGTCGGCTGAATATGAGCCAGCAGTGTGCTCAGGTGGCCAAGAAGGCCAACGGCATCCTGGCTTGTATCAGAAACAGTGTGACCAGCAGGGCTAGGGAGGTGATTGTCCCCCTGTACTCGGCTCTGGTGAGGCCGCACCTCGAGTACTGTGTTCAGTTTTGGGCCCCTCGCTACAAGAAGGACATCGAGGTGCTTGAGCGGGTCCAAAGAAGGGCGACGAAGCTGGTGAGGGGCCTGGAGAACAAGTCCTACAAGGATCGGCTGAGAGAGCTGGGCTTGTTCAGCCTGGAGAAGACGAGGCTCAGGGGTGACCTTATTGCTCTCTACAGATACCTTAAAGGAGGCTGTAGCGAGGTGGGAGTTGGTCTGTTCTCCCACATGCCTGGTGACAGGACGGGGGGGAATGGGCTAAAATTGTGCCAGGGGAGTTTTAGGTTAGACGTTAGGAAGAATTTCTTTACCGAAAGGGTTGTTAGGCACTGGAACGGGCTGCCCAGGGAAGTGGTGGAGTCACCATCCCTGGAAGTCTTCAAAAGACGTTTAGATGTAGAGCTTAGGGATATGGTTTAGTGGGGACTGTTAGTGTTAGGTCAGAGGTTGGACTCGATAATCTTGAGGTCTCTTCCAACCTAGAAATTCTGTGATTCTGTGGATGAGCCTGTTGAAACTAATTCCAGTTGAGAAAGTTTCAGTTACTAGCTTGGTGATATTGTCAGTTCAATATTCAAAGCTGCAGCAAAAGCGAAAGGGGATTTTTGCTTCTAGAAACACCCCAGGTCTCCTGCCTGCACTCTGCGTGCTGTTGAGCTAAGCCATAAAAATAAGTAAATAAAGCACAGCTGCTGCTCCTCTTTCTGATGTCCTGTGCTTTGCCCCTCCCCTTTCCCAGGTGATTGGGTTTGGGTGCTGGGGGCGGGGGCAAAAGGTATATGAGCCCCAGGCATGCCACCAGAGAGCTCCTTCTGCCTGGGCTGCTCTTTGGGGTAAGTGCTTTGTGTTTCCTTCAGTCAGTTGCAGGGTTCTTTAGGTGGGTCAAAGTCTATGGATTTCTGGATTTTAAGTGCTTGGAATTCACTTAATAGAGCTCTATTTAGCAGAGGCCGCTGGCTCACTGTTTTTTGGGGTGGTGGGACACTCTTCTGGTTTTGACCTATACTTCAATCTCTAAATGTATAAACCCACCTGTGTAACTCTCCTGAGGACTAAAAGCAGCTTGATTGCATGGTACCTGTGGCTCGGCAGCATAGATACGCAGCATTGCCAAGAGACTGAGCAGGGTTGTATCAAAGTCTCCTCTTTCATCTGCCAAGGGTGAGTCTGTGATTACCCCTGCCGGGGCTGCTGTGTGTGCATGTCTTTTTGGCATTTATGGAGCTCAGTCGTTTTTTTTTTTCTGTCTATGTTCTAACTTTTTGGTTTTTTGAGGGGCGCATAGCGTGTGTGCTGAGAGTGGGTGGCAGGAGGAGGTGGGGAGCTGCTCAGGACTGGAAGGTTTGGTTTCTAGGAGTACGCGGCATCCTTCCTGTGCGACGTGACTAATTGTTGGGCTGGAACGTTCCAGCTTTTGTGTGTCTTAAGCAACGTAGCTTGTGCAGTGTGTTGTGTGGCCCGGGCAGAGTTTGCCGTGGCGCTGTGAGCGAAGATTCTGAGTTAGAGCTGGTGAGCAGCTGAAGAACTGGAGCTGGGAAGAGAGAGGCATTGCAGCAGGTACGCTGTGGCTGTGAGGTTAGGGTTAGATCCAGGGTTCGGGTTAGGCTTTGGGTTCGGGTTAGGGTTAGGGTTCGGTCTCCCATGGGCGATGTTTCGGCTTGCTCAGGAACAGCGAACCCGGAGGGTCCAGTGTCATGTGGGGCTGCGTAAAGGCTCCCCTGGGGAGTTCACTTGTACCCAAAGCCTTCCTTTGGTGACACTTTTGGATGGTCCAAAGGGGCTTGCAACGCGTTTTCCTGGGGCCTGATTTTTCAGTCGTCTTCGATGCCGGCTAGGGCTATGTTTAGGGATGCTCGGAAACAGCGAACCCGGAGGGTCCAGTTGCATGTGGGGCTGCATAAAGGCTCCCCTGGGGAGATCACTTGTATCCAAAGCCTTCCTTTGGTGACACTTTTGGATGGGCGAAAAGGGCTTGGAACACATTTCCTGGGGCCCGATTTTTCATTCGTCTTCGATGACGGCTAGGGCTACGTTTAGGTTTGCTCAGGAACAACGAACCCGGAGGGTCCAGTTGCATGTGGGGCTGCGTAAAGGCTCCCCTGGGGAGTTCACTTGTACCCAAAGCCTTCCTTTGGTGACACTTTTGGATGGTCCAAAGGGGCTTTCAACGCGTTTTCTGGGGCCCGTTTTTTCAGTCGTCTCCGATGCCGGCTAGGGATATATTCAGGGTTGCTCAGGAACAGCGAACCCGGAGGGTCCAGTTGCATGTGGGGCTGCGTAAAGGCTCCCCTGGGGAGTTCTCTTGTACCCAAAGCCTTCCTTTGGTGACACTTTGGGATGGTCCAAAGGGGCTTTCAACGCGTTTTCTGGGGCCCGTTTTTTCAGTCGTCTCCAATGCCGGCTAGGGCTATGTTTAGGGATGCTCGGAAACAGCGAACCCGGAGGGTCCAGTTGCATGTGGGGCTGCGTAAAGGCTCCCCTGGGGAGTTCACTTGTACCCAAAGCCTTCCTTTGGTGACACTTTTGGATGGGCGAAAAGGGCTCGCAACGCATTTCATGGGGCCTGATTTTTCACTCGTCTCCGATGACGGCTAGGGCTATGTTTAGGGATGCTCGGAACCAGCGAACCCGGAGGGTGCAGTTGCATGTGGGGCTGCGTAAAGGCTCCCCTGGGGAGTTCACTTGTACCCAAAGCCTTCCTTTGGTGACACTTTTGGATGGTCCAAAGGGGCTTGCAACGCGTTTTCTGGAGCCCGGTTTTTCAGTCTTCTCCCATGACGGCTAGGGATATATTTAGGGTTGCTCGGAAACAGTGAACCCGGAGGGTCCAGTTGCATGTGGGGCTGCGTAAAGGCTCCCCTGGGGAGTTCACTTGTACCCAAAGCCTTCCTTTGGTGACACGTTTGGATGGTCCAAAGGGGCTTGCAACGCGTTTCGCTGGGCCTGATTTTTCAGGTGTCTTCGATGCTGGCTAGGGCTATGTTTAGGGATGCTCGGAAACAGCGAACCCGGAGGGTCCAGTTGCATGGGTGGCTGCGTAAAGGCTCCCCTGGGGAGTTCACTTGTACCCAAAGCCTTCCTTTCGTGACACGTTTGGATGGTCCAAAGGGGCTTGCAACGCGTTTCGCTGGGCCTGATATTTCAGTCGTCATCAATGCCGGTTAGGGATATATTTAGGGTTGCTCGGAAAAATCGAACCCGAAGGGTCCAGTTGCATGTGGGGCTGCGTAAAGGCTCCCCTGGGGAGTTCACTTGTATCCAAAGCCTTCCTTTGGGGGCACTTTTGGATGGTCCAAATGGGCTCGCAACACATTTCCTGGGGCCTGATTTTTCACTCGTCATCGATACCGGCTAGGGCTATATTTAGGGATGCTCGGAAACAGCGAACCCGGAGGTCCAGGTGCATGTGGGGCTGCGTAAAGGCTCCCGTGGGGAGTTCACTTGTATCCAAAGCCTTCCTTTGGGGGCACTTTTGGATGGGCGAAAAGGGCTCACAACGCATTTCCTGGGGCCTGATTTTTCAGTCGTCTTCGATGCCGGCTAGGGCTATGTTTAGGGTTGCTCGGAAACAGCGAACCCGGAGGTCCAGTTGCATGTGGGGCTGCGTAAAGGCTCCCGTGGGGAGTTTACTTGTACCCAAAGCCTTCCTTTGGTGACACTTTTGGATGGTCCAAAGTGGCTTGCAACGCGTTTTCTGGGGCCTGATTTTTCAGTCGTCATCGATGCCGGCTAGGGTTATATTTAGGGATGCTCGGAACAGCGAACCCGGAGGGTCCAGTTGCATGTGGGGCTGCGTAAAGTCTCCCCTGGGGAGTTCACTTGTACCCAAAGCCTTCCTTTGGGGGCACTTTTGGATGGGCGAAATGGGCTCGCAATGCATTTCCTGGGGCCTGATTTTTAACTCTTCTTCGATGCCGCCTAGGGCTATGTTTAGGGATGCTCGGAACCAGCGAACCCGGAGGGTCCAGTTGCATGTGGGGCTGCGTAAAGGCTCCCCTGGGGAGTTCACTTGTACCCAAAGCCTTCCTTTGGTGACACTTTTGGATGGTCCAAAGGGGCTTGCAACGCATTTCCTGGGGCCTGATTTTTCAGTCGTCTCTGATGCCGGCTAGGGCTATGTTTAGGGATGCTCGGAAACAGCGAACCCGGAGGGTCCAGTTGCATATGGGGCTGCGTAAAGGCTCCCCTGGGGAGTTCACTTGTACCCAAAGCCTTCCTATAGGGGCACTTTTGGATTGGCGAAAAGGGCTGGGAATGCATTTCCTGGGGCCTGATTTTTCAGTCTTCTCCCATGCCGGCTAGGGATATATTTAGGGTTGCTTGGAAACAGCGAACTCGGAGGGTCCAGTTGCATGTGGGGCTGCGTAAAGGCTCCCCTGGGGAGTTCTCTTGTACCCAAAGCCTTCCTTAGGGGGCACTTTTGGATGGGCGAAAAGGGCACGGAACGCATTTCCTGGGGCTTGATTTTTCAGTCGTCTCCGATGACGGCTAGGGCTAGGTTTAGGTTTGCTCAGGAACAGCGAACCCGGAGAGTCCAGTTGCATGTGGGGCTGC